GTTCTATCGTTTCAATAATATTCACGTTAAGGTCGATCCTCGCCTACTTTATACACATCTGTTGTATGTGTTGAAATCTGCGTCTTCGTCTACGTTAATGTATAGGAAATAAAACCTTATCTCGGAATCCAAGGGAGTATAAGCACCCGTGGTTGAGAAGCCCAGGATTAAATAATAAGATAGAGTAAAGCCGTAAGACGAGGCGTGATGTATGGCGTAGTGGTGGTGTGCTAGGTTTTCGTTTGAGAGGCGCAAGTTCGGCGCCGGTCGTGGGCCATATTGTTGTGATTGTCGGGGTGTTGTTTGGCTAGTGATGTGGACTTTGGTGCACTGAAACACAGATGTTGATAAACCAAAATAAAGCTCTAGAATTACACTGAAGCCAACTGTTTTGATGGAATTTTGGGAACTTTTTCAGGTTCTTTTGAGATTTTTAGACTTTTTCAGATTTTTTTTCAGCTTGTTGCACTCTTCTAGTGAAATTTTCTCGGCTACGGCGGATAGTTATCACGTGTTTGTTGTAGAATTTGTGAGAGATTTTTTTGAATGGCACGCGTTTTTTAGGTGTTCTGTTGTGAGGAAATGTTCGGGATTTTTAGCGGTCGTGCTGAATTTTTCGGTTTTTAATGAAAATTTTTTTGTGGGGATGAAAAATGGTAAATAAATAAGTATTAATTAAGTGTTGAGTATTGAATGAATATTTGATAAACGAACAAAAAATAAGTAATTTTCAGGCGTATATAACGCTTTTATCGGTGACCACAACGTGGTTAATAGGTCGTCGTATGAATTTGGGACGACGCGCCAAGATTGCGTTGCATTCGACAATGGCGATGGGTTATGCTCAAGTGCTTCTCGGCATTGTCACTCTAGTGCGCATTCGGATTTTCTTTTCATTTTAATGAGAAATTCTCTTGTTCCAACGTTTCCAGCTTCGAATTTCATGCAGAATTTTTGTGTTCTGAATTTCCAGCAACTCTGATTTTTGTGGAGAATTTTCATGTTTCTCAACTTTTCCGACTCTGATTTCCATGGAAAAATTCTCTGTTCCAACAGAGCAACGAGTGGTTCGGCGAGAGAAATTATCGCGTTCATTGTAGGTGCATTACGTTCCGGTATGGCTAGGTGCACTGCATCAGAGTGGTTCGATGGCCGTGATGACGTTCGTTTTTTGGTTATCGAATGAAATACGACGAATTCCGAAGTGATTTCAGACAGAATTAGGCAGATTACCCGTGCGGGCAAGCAATTGCTCGTGACGTAATTACCCGCGGGTAATTTCCATGTTTTTCAGTTTTAAAAAAATTTATTAGGAATTATTGTGCAGTGAAAAGCATTTCATTTTGAAGTTTATTGTTACTGAAAATTTGAAAATTTTTCACTGAAATTAATTTGCGGCTTTCGGTCGAAATTTATTTTTCAGTCATGGAATTGCTTGCGGGTAGAAAATTGCCCATATTTATAAAAATGATCTAATTTGTTCGTTGATTGAGCGTGGGTATTGTTTTGTAAGTATTGTGGAAGGTGGAGAGCAGTTCACTTTTTATTGTGTAGTGTTTTTGAACATTTTGTGCAAATTTTTAAATTGTGCTTTGATAATTTCTATTATTATTATTACTATTTACTATCATTATTCTATGGTTATCATTTTAATAGTATTATTATTTTATGATTATCATTTTATTGCTGTTATTATTACTAAAACAACAGAGTACGGTGATAATTATATTGTGCATATTAATATTATTATTGTTGTTTGTTGCATTTTGTATTTTCGCGATAATAATAATAAC